AAAAGAGTCAATTACTGGGACTTTAACCTCTTCATCATAAAAACAGATTTCCAACAATGCATACAAATCTAGACAATAAATACAAATAATTATATTCAAATATTCCTTTTTTCGATTCAATTGAAAAAAAAGTATTGAAAAATTTATGATTTTCTACAAAGTCTCTTTTACAACTGATGGATATCCAGACAAAGAGTATCCGCTTTTATATACATACAAAAAGTAATCTGTGACGGCAGGGCTGCGAAAAGCGCTTTCAAAAGCTATATCTCATAATTTTCAGCGCATTCATATTCTGTTGGAAGCACTGAGTGATTACTACAACAAACCGAACGGTGACGACGGAGAAAAAAAGCAGACAAAGCGCTGCTTGTTTAGCTTTGGGCGGTGGAAAGCGCTTTAAATGTGCGTGACAAATTAAAACATCGTATCGTACCATATAAGGATAACAAAAGAAACTTATCCGTGCTGTATCGTGGGTACTACCTATAACGGTAGCATTTACCCTAACTCTGTAGTATTTAGTCTTACTAATATTATAAATGCAAAAGTTTAGATGGATGTTTGTTAGAAGGTATCTCCGGAAAGGCTCAACAGATCTTGATGAAATTTGGCATACATATAGAACACAGTCTGGAAGAACACATTGGCTACTTATTAAGTATTTTTTTATATTTGTGCAACAGCTAGTACTTGGTGAATATGTTAGTTAATGTTATGAAATAGACGCCTACAGCTATAACACATTTATATTAAAATAACCATTTTTTTTACATATATTATAAAGTGGTAAACGAACTATTGAATAGCCTGAGTTACTTCTTGCTTCCTTACCAATTCATAATATAAAAAACTGAATATTATTTTACATAAAAGTAATTTTAATCAGTAAAATACAGACGCAAATTGAGCTAATTGTCCATAAAATTGAATAAAAGGCTAATATATTAAATATTGTTTAATTTAATTCAAATGTTATTAAAGAAATTGTGTAAACCGCGAGCTCACCTCAGCGAGAATAATTCTATGAACAAAGAGCATTATAATTCTTGAGACGCTGCGTGGGGTGGGCGCGCCGCTTGTGGACGCCGCGCGGAATAATATCTTAATCCAATCGCGAACAGATGTTTAAATTCGAATCTCATTATATTAGTAGGGTAACGGGCTTAGATTTTGTACAGCTAAACATTTATTATGTTTTAATTGTTCGATCGGATTGTATCGAAGAGAATGCCTTGAAGACATTTTTATATACACATATAAAAATAAAGATGGAGAAAAATTATAATTTTAAATTGAAAGAAACTTAGAATTAAATCTGTGAATATCACCAACTTATGCATAATCTGAATATGCAGTTTTTTTGAATAACTCTTCGTTTAAAAGTCGTCAATTAAAAATTTTAGTAACATTAATTAATTTATCTTATTTAAATCGCTGTCTATATTTGGTGCATTTACCCTATAACGAAAAGACAAAATGATTTCCTTTTGAATGCAGTAAACAAAAGATAAGTAACTCCTTCAGTATACAAATTATTTTGGAACATTTCATGCAAAATACAATCAATCTAAACAAAACTTTTATAAAAAAAACCATTAACTAAATAAAAAATAAAAATTTGTAGTGATAGTGGTACAAATGTATTTCAATTAATGCAACATTTTAGCGTCATTGTAACTGGCCGGTTTTTCACAAAACAAACGGGGATAAAACCGCTTGTGGAAATCGCCCGTATTTGCGATAGTGATGTGACACATTATTTATATTCGCTTCACAATCGCAGACTGACGCTAAATGGAATTTAAAAGCTTCGAGAACAGTTCGCAGCGATGCTTTTTTGGATGGCATTATGCAATATGTGCTCAATAGTAACAATTGATTTTAAACTCTTAAATCAATCTTTGTTGTCGTTGATGGGATATTGCTTATATTAAACCTCTGAAATATTATATTTTATTTTAGAATTTAGGCCTTTCAAGCCATTTACCATATTATTGAAAACAAAGTTACAATTTTACCTATTATTAAAATAATATTGTGCTTTGTGGTTGTTGATATCCTTGTTCCAATATTGCATAACACCGTCCAGTGGTTGTTGGGCCCCGCACAATTAGAGCGTGACTGTACCGGTGGTGTCGGCGGTGGAGGGGGGAGATAGATTTGTAAAACATATCAGCCCCCTTCTGTGCCCGCTCTGACGCGACAAAATACACGAGATGTAAGTAGAGTGAAATCAATAAAAAAATTTAATGTACATAAAACAAGTATATTACCGATAGGTAATATAGATATAGATATAGCTTGCTAATATTATAAATGCAAATGTTTGGACGAATCAATGGTTGTTTGTTAGAAGGTGTCATCAGAGCGATTTCGTAAATCTCATAGATATTTGGCATAATGTAGGACGTAGTGTGGAATCACACATATGCTACTAATTAAGTATTTTATTTTATCCTGCCTGTATTTATAGACTAAACGTGTGAACAATATTGACATCAGATTTGATTCCCTTAGAGTCCGATCATCTTTCAAGGCCACATCCTCTTCCATTCCTTATAAGGGAACCACGTAAATTATTTGCTACATACCAAAAACATCTTTACAAATAAAACCCTTTTAATTCACAGTACATAAAAAACAATAAGTAAAGTATAGTCTATGGTATAGCTCAGAGATTGGGCTTCGTCCTGGGCTAATTAAGACCGCCGAACACTTTACCTTTGTCCTCGACCACGGCGTGGATCAGAAAAATAAATATGAAAAAGAAATATTTCCCTATCCATCATAATGGTGCTCGGCAATTTTCAAAATGGCCGCGGATAAAGACGAAAAAACAAAAGACGATCACTTTTAAATGAAACAAACAGACGCTGAAACTTGACAGAAAATATATCGCGTTTTATGAAATACTATTATAGCTAAAAAAAACACAATTAGTAGCCTATGTGTTCTATATGTATGGCAAATTTCATCGAGATCCGTGCAGCCGTTCTGGAGATATCTTCAGGCAAACATCAATCCATCCATATAAACATTCACATTTATAAAATTAGCAAGATGTAAGAATGGAGAGGCCGAGATTAATAAGAAAGGTTGTAATAAACAAAATTGATCCTTTTAATTAAATGAAAGTATCAATTTTATTTATTCTTTTATTACAAGACATTTTGGTGTTTCGTTAAAACATGGTATTTAACCTTTTTACAACGTTTTTTTGCGGTTACGATGTTTAGTAACGCGAGTTTTTCAACTTAAAGCTCCCGTATAAGGTCCTATAACAATAAAGAGCTTTTATTGAACATGTTGAGTAAATCCAGGATATGTAGCGAAGCGTGTAAGCCGCGGTGTAAACAATTCTATAACGTTCGTATCGTTACGTATTCTGATCTTGATATAGTATGCTTTATGCTTTTTGGCTCATTTTAATTGATAATTATTATTGAATCCGATTTTTCCACTATGAAGATTAACTTGTCAAAATAAAATAAATCTTTAGTTTACTGTAAAATTATTAGCTAGACGTTGCAGATAGTTTTTTTTATTTGCAGACCATTTTCAGTTTGGTCAAATTACATTTATAAAAATTGTTGTAATATGTAGGTAGTTTATTTTTATTTTTTTGTAGCATAAATAATTTCGTTAAATGAATTGTCTTTTACTATTGCTATTAAAAATAAATTAGAATGGATGAAAAGATAAAAAATATCCGAAATTATGAATCCCTATCATTGCATTTGCATGCCAATATTTGTTACCCGTACTATAGATACATAAAAAGGCCACAATCGTAAAAACGCCATGTTGTCTCTATCACCTATCGATACATCGACATATTAGCGATTGGACAAGTCATAAGCTGAAGCGTTTTGAGCCTACTATTATAGGAAAATTGAAAAAATATTTTTTAAAAATAGTTCTTATTTCTATGCATCTTCCCAATCATCTTAATTTGCTACAAACAATAAAAAATATTAAAAAAAAAACTTATATTTAAGAAAAAAGTATTTACCTTGTACCATGTTTATCGTAAGGTAATACGGATAGTATTGGGCCCCTTGGCATTTCGACCTTTAGGGTAAACCAGCCAGTTTACGACACGTCCGTAACGGTTGGATTCTATACTGATCCGGCTAGAAGGACCAATATCGGTTCGCGGGTGATTCCATCTCTGCTCCGGTAATTGAAACGGAAAGGTATATCCCATTTTACTTTCTATTAGATAAGGTGTTAACCCGTTGTTATCCCATGTTATTTAGTTTTATACCAAAATGAGATCTTAAAAGGCTTTCAATAAAAGAGTTTATGTAACCTTAATGATAATGAATCTTGTTGAAGCTTTTCTTTTTATTTGGAAATTATATTTATTTTGTTAAAAAAAAACTTATGAATTTCTTGGGTTTTTGTTATTTTGTGGACTGAATATTATACCTATCTGAATATAGGTGCCCACGATACAGGCATTGCCTAATGTGGGCATCACTAGTTTACCCAAATTAACCATAAATGGTAACTTAAGTTTAATTTAATTGCTCAGTTATGTGCAATTTTTATGTTAGTTATTGTTTCTTGGTTTAATCTTTATTATCTATAATAAAAACTTTTCTTTCTTCTTTCTTTCATTTCAACTGACATAGTCAATCATAAAATGACATGAGATAAGGAGACATAAAAAGGGATAACAATATGTTTGTACCAGATCTATCTGTAGCAAAGATTTACAGTCACGCTGGCAGGAGCTCCATGGTAATCTTCTTGTAATCCTGATTCATTAAGTAAAGAAGTTCTGAATTCTGTCTTTGTCATCGCCAAACAGGTTAAACGATCCAGTTTCGGTCCAGTGAATTCAAGGAGTGTGACCCGTCTGAATGGTCGTGAGTCGTTAGGTGGCCCCGACAGCCGCGACGTATCCCGAATATAAATGTAAATGCACCAACACGACGCCCTGATAAATAAAGAAGAAGGTTAAACGGCCGAGGTGAGCCGTGTAAACATCGTTATTATAGGGTTGTCGCTACATTGGTAGTATTTTGTTTACAAGTCATCTTTTAAACTCATAATAAATATGAATATCATATGTAACTCATCTTTTAGTCAGCTATTTCTTAACTGTGGCACGGTACCAAAAAAGGGCTTAATTTATCTGATTTTCTTCTGATGAATGAAATGACTTGAAACGCGCCCCTTTCTACTCCTACTTTATTAATTCTCGCCTAGGAAAATAGTGTATTTTGTAATTATCCTTGTCTTATACTGACCAGTTTAGGATTGATTATGAAGATAAATGTTGATTTGTTAAAATATTTTAATTATAAACTATAAGTGACAACCCTAGGAGCTAATACGTGAGTGACAGACAGTCATAAATTACAAACGTCGCATGATCTGGCCTCGCAGCGCCGCGCACCAAGGGTCGGTAGAAGATTCGATTCCAACACAGTTTATTGCCGCCACCTATGTTATGTTGTAGGAACATACAAACATACATAAGTAATTTTACCCCTTTTGCTAGTTTTGGGAATACACTATTTTGATATTAAAAAATAAAAATATTGCCATAATTTCGAGACTATGACTACTAGACTATGTTATGGACTCTATTACTTAGTAATTAATCTATCTCCTGAATTATTAATTAATAATTGTTTGTCGGGCTGGAATTAAAAAATCAGAATACAAGATTTTCCCATAGACCTGAACAGTCTAATTTACCTGAGAAAAAAGTTGTATTTGACCTTAAACATTTTTATACACATTTTATACTAAATTACGGGACCAAGAGTCAGTAAAACTGGAGTGATAAAAAACGGGTTTATTCTATTAGCCGGGGTTAGACGAATGAAATACGTACGACACATGTAAACAAGTTTATGAGGACAGAGTGTCCCGGGGGACGGAAACAGGTGAGTCTACCCTAGTCTATACGATATTGACGAGACAAGATACGTATGGGTATGGATTTTACTAATTCTTTTGGGGTTTAAAATGTTTATATTGTACAAGGAGTATTGGAGCATCAGTGGCTCAGTGGTCAAGCACTTGACTTGCAATCTGCGGGTATTATGTTCGAATCCCGCCATGTACCAATGTGTTTTTCGATTTCCGATTTACATATGTATATTTATCCGACGTTATGGTGAAGGAATACATCGTGATGCAACCTGCACCTGCTACGCTTCTTTTTACTAATTTACAGAATTTTTCTTACTTAAAAATACAGTGACTTACCGTGACTTTTCAACACAAAAATCTCTGTATAAAACATCGTTATCCCTGTCATTATCTTTGTCAAAAACAGAGATAACAATATATCTTAAACGGGGATTTTGGTCTCAAAAACGGTCTCAACAACACGAAACTTCTTAATTTTCGAAATTACTTCTGAAAATTCTTTAATCGTAAGACCTTAACAACTCCGTTAGTACTGTTAGAAAGAAAAATACTGTACCGGTGTACTGGCACAACACTAGCGTTACTAAAATGTCGACTTTTATGTCCCCTCACTAATCATTCTGACACTTAACTTTGTAATGAAAGCACGTCATTCGCGCCAAAGGATTCTAACTTATCTTATACATATATGAAATTCTCGTGTCACAATTATCGTTCCCATACTCCTCCGAAACGGCATGACCGATTCTCATGAAATTTTGTGAGCATATTGAGTAGGTCTGAGAATCGGCCAACATCTATTTCTCATCCCCCTAAATGTTAAGGGTAGTCCACCCCTATTTTATTTTTTATTTTTTAGACAAACATGCGGACGGAGTCGCGGGCGTCAGCTAGTAATATCTAAAAGTACCGAGTTTTAAAAAATATTTATGTGCGATCTTTTATCAATATCGCATCGCTTCCTTAGTATTCCCGTATTCCCATCGGGAGATGCCGGCAATTATTCCCGGCGTCTAGAGTAACGCATCAAATATCATTTTATTGCTGCCCACCCACGTAATGTGCTGGAATACACGCAATTTCCTTGAGTGATATTTTCTTATATGTTTTTTTTTCTTATTTAGTTTTATTGGTTATTTTAAGAGTTCTTACAAGGTTGTAAAATTGATGTAGAGTTTTGGAGCATGCGATGTTAGAATGTTTTTGGGTTTAATGTGTTTTATTTATAGTCAAACGTTTCTTTATTATTCGTTCATTATTCTAAAGAATTGAAAGTGAGAATCTATCTACACATAATAATAATGGTGTGTATGTATGTAATATCGAAAAAAACTCGTGCTAATTATGTTTTTGGGTAGCTAAAAACGAAAATCCATTTTTTTTGTCTGTCTCTATGTCCGTAAGGCCACTTTTGTTTCGGGAATTCTTCGGTACGGTTTGTTTGTTTATCTGTTGGTAAATATCCTCAGTAACTAGTGGTAAGAAAACAGAAGAAATTGAACAAGAATAACAAGGAACGTAAAAAAATCTAAAATTGATCCAAAATTATAAGTAAAAAAATTATAGCAAATACAAAAAAGGCTTGAAGAGAAAATCCTTGCTGTTTACATCTTCTTTTGCGAAGAACATATAAAACTTTTTGGAGAAAAAACTCTTATATGTTAGAAAAAAATAAAATAAAACACAAACATAATCATGTCACCGTCAACTGACTTTTTAAAAATATGGGAATGAGTAAAAAAAGGTAAGTCTATTTCAAATATATTATACCATCTAGAGTGTGTAAAGTTTAAAGAAAGTATGTCATTTAAAATCGGCAAAAAACAAAGCAAAAATTGTATCTTTATAAAAAGAAAAGGAACAGAAACCTAAGTATTTTCGTTAGCTTCCTTACCCTACTTCATTAACTGTAAAAGCTTAGATATATTTTAAGTTACACGAGTATTGGCAACTGAAGAAAAAATAGAACCAGATCCAAAGATGTTAATCTATTCGAAATCAAATTTAAATTTTCTTAGTTTATTACTAGCTGCCCGCGACTCCGTGCGGAATTGAAAAAAAACTTAATGAGTAGCCTCTGTGTTCTTCCGGACTATGTTCTATATGTATGCCAAATTTTATCGAGATCCGTTCAGCCGTTCTGGAGATACCTTCAAACAAACATCCATCCATCCATCTATACATTCGCATTTATAATATTAGATATTCTAATTACTTATCATTTGTTTCAGTACCAACAACATACTGTCTGACAAAGAAACTCAATCGCCTATGTTAAAAATTTTCAAAGACATCATGCAAAGAGAGAGAAAGTAAGGAGTTTTTAATATCAATATTAAAAAAAAATTGTATCCAAACCAGTGACTGGCAACTTACAAAAAAATGTACCTAGCTGTCACCTGCGAATCCGTCCGCACGGAATTAAAAAAAATATAAGTAAATAATAAGTAGCCTAGTTCTTCCAGACTTTGTTCTATATCTTCGCTAAATTTCATAAAGATTTGTTGTGCTGTTCCGCAGATACCTACAAACAAACATCCATCCATTTTAACTTTCATATTTAAATTATACTACCTGTCGCCCGCGACGCCGTCTGCGCGGATTTAAAAAAAAACATAACTAGTAGACTATACGTTATTCTAGTATTTTGTATACACTTGTTTCCTGATTGTTATCATCAATTTGCTGTATACTGTATCGAACTCTAGATGTATAATTAACTTAAAATGTTTACAGTGATTCAGAAAAAGTCAATCTAATCAAGATCGAGAAGTTAGAAAATAAAAAAAGGAAGACATATTCTGGACCACTTCCTAAAACTGATTTGGTGAGTTTCATAAAATGTATCCTAGTCGTTTGAAAAAAGAACGGAGTCTCGTTCTCTCTTCACTCCACTCTTTAGCCTACGTGGAAAATAAATTTTGCGTTGCATCTCGTATACATATATATTTTAAGTAATAATGGTACCCTTAGTGTCATGCTTAGGGATGAAAATGTTTGTTTCATCAGATTCTTACACCACAGATAATCTTTTATTGATCCTCTGTTCATTTTGTAGAGGTCGTGTGACTCGAGCAGTACGGAGCGGTTCAAACACAGCCACGGCAGTAAGATGCCGATACAAGACTTGGAACAGCAAATGTACAAGGAATGTAATGATAGGACGCAGACTATAGTAAGTCTAGACCGCCAGGTTCCATCCACACCACCTGGATGGCTGGCGTTCCACAACGGTGCGATTCTCGCGCAGTTTTGCCTCGCACAGTCGCGTTGTGGAACGGTCTGTCCTCGGCGGTATTTCCAAACCAATACGACTTAGGGACCTTCAAGAAGCGAGCATACCATTTCCTTAAAGGCCGGCAACGCATTGTAGATGCGTTGCCGGCCTTTAAGGAAATGGTTCCTCTGGTTCCTCTGGTGTTGCAGATGTCCATGGGTGTCGTTGATCACCTCGGTGTTCCCGCCGCTCGTTTGCCCCCTTCTCTTATAAAAAAAAAGTACTAGACAGGTGTTAATTTTTGGACAAAATATTGGAGAAACATTTGGGAATTAGTATTCTTTATGAAAGTGCTCCTGTAATGTCTATGCAGATATATTTTAACCACCAGCTGTCACCCGCGGCTTTTTCCAGGCGGAAATAAAAAAATTAGTAGGTTTTGTGTTCTTCCAGACTACATGTATGCCAAATTTCAGCAAGATTCATGCAGCCGTTTTGGAGATACCTTCTAACAAAGATCCAACCATCCATCCATACATAGCCAAACATTCGCATTTATAATATTAGTAGAAAGTAAGATGTTGGATTCATGAACATTTTTTCCGTTTTATTTACTATCTAAATGTAATCTTTAACATACATTAATTATATATTGTATATATGAGCGTCGGTGGCTCAGGGGTCAAGCACTTGACTTGCAATCTGCAGGTCCTGGGTTCGAATCCCGTCATGTACCAATGTGTTTTTCGATTTCCGATTTACATATGTACATTTATCCGACGTTCTTACGGTGAAGGAAAACATCGTGTTGCAACCTGCACATATCTGAGAAGAAATTCAAAGATATGTGTGATGTCAACCAACCCGCACTTGGCCAGCGTGGTTGACTATGGCCTAATGACCCTTAACTTAGGGTAGGCTCCGAGCCCCTCGGTGGGGACGTATAGTGAGCTGATGATGATGATGATGATGAATTGTGTATTTTTCAGCCTTTCAACGCCGAAAAGAAAGATAACTGGTGGTTTTGGGTATGTTCAGTTTTACTAAGATGTATTTAATACAAAAGTCAATAAGTCTTCTATTGTAACATCTCCTTTTTTGCAGAAAGATTCTGAAAAAAAGAAAGTCACAGATGACACCTGTTCATGTGTGTCTTGTGCGTAAGTATAAAATTTATGAATTGCTAGATCCAAATTCATTTTTATCTGAGATTTTCTCTAATTTACCTGATCTAAAAATAGCAATAGCAATTAGGAAATCAGATCTATCGTTGACCATTGTTATATTTCTGTAATACTTCTCAAATACAACAAATTACTTCACGATCGTAACCTAAAGGGGTAGGCAGAGACCACAGACTTTCAATTGGCTCGGACACATCTCTCTCGCTTCTTCATCTTCATACTTTTAGACCTTATTAGTTAGAATCCTTTGGCACGAATGGCTCGCTATCGTTACAAAATCAAGTGTCAGATTGCTTAGTGAGGGGACATAAACGTTGACAGTAAGGCTAGTGTTGCGCCGATATACCAGTACAGTGTCTGATTTTCTTCCTAACAATACATACATCAGATTCAGGTCCTTCTTGACTTAATTTGATTTAATAGATCTTTTCTTTTCTCAAATAAAATAATGTTAATATTCAGTATTGTGTTTGGCAGTAAATGTATAAAAGTAATTAAAGGGAAATTGACAGGTTGAAGAAAGTAATCAGTTCAGATTACGCTTGCATCTTCTGTCTGTCGCTGATGTTTGCGATATCTGTGGTGGTGGCGTTCGTTATCTTCAGGAGTGTGGCTGTAACTGAAGGCATCTCGCCACAGATAGAAGGCCGGATGAGTTCCGCACTCAAGAAAAACACAATGATCAAATCTAGACGGCAGTTTCGCAGCGATGGAACGAACTTGGATGGAAAGTAAGCATTTTTATTTATTTCTAGCGGGGTCGCCCGTGACTCCATCTGGGCACAATTTAAAACAGCTTAATTAGTAGAAGCTATGTTCTATATCTGTGCCAAATTTCAGCGAGATCCATGTAGCCTTTCTGGTGATACATTCAAGCAAACATCCATTTAAATATGCGCATTTATATTAGTAAGATCTGTAATACATTCATTTAACCACATGATTTTTTTAAGCAAACCCTGGACTGATATTACTGACCCCTGGCAAAGTTTACCCAGTTTGTCTGGAACAGGTAAATTTTTTTTATATTATTTATAAAGATAACAATATTTTATACCGAGGTTTTAGTCTCAGAAACCAAAGGTTACTAGGAATTAATTAGTTATTGCAAATTGCAAGCTTAAAATAATAAAATTACTTATCTACAGTATGTTGTTATTTTCATTATTAGATATTAAAATTTTTGTTATAGATTTCGGGGAAACTGGATTACGAGATGGGGTATGATTTTTATTTTATTTTACTATCAACCCTAAATCTTTTACAACATAGGTTTAGACATATTATTTTGAAGGAAAGTTCAGTGTAAAAGACATTGTATTAGTTATATTATTCTATACTAGCGGTCTCCCGTGACTTTGTCAGCGCATAATTATAATATTATAATAAAAAGTCCCGTCAAAATCAGTCCAGCCGTTTACTCGGAACAAACGCGGCTTTAAGGCAGACGGAAAATAATTTTAGAAATTGGTTTTTCGTTTTCAGCAACGCAACTATACATCATGTGTACGATTTTTTGTCGATGTTATATACAGACACTCCAATTTTATCAATATATTAGTAGTAGTATATAATTTTTAATTCACATTTTCCGGGAACTGTCCCATACTGTTACACCTTTCAATAGAGTTACAACACCCTGGAGTATCGGAGGGCCTACAACATCGCTTGCGGCTTGTCGCGCTGCGCCGACACATAAACCCTTTGATTCACTGTACGGGGAATCATTTTTATCAATCAGCCAGAAAAATTACTTCGAGTTTTCGAATCAAACTCGATTCTCGAACCTAGCGGTCATAACAGGCCTCAAATAGTAGTTCTAATCCCTTTTTTTTCATTAAAAATCTTCCATTTTATACACCATATTATAAAGTAGTTCTTTAAAGTTATTTTTTAATTTTGACACTTCCTGAATTAAAAAACTACTACCTTTTCTTCGAACCTATTCAATTGTAAACTTCGAGTTTCAATAGTAACTTTATCACTCCCTCAACGACAAAGAGTCAGATTACGCGGGACACGTCGCAAACCGAGACAGCAGTACAGTCACGCACAAAAATGTTTAACATATATTTTCCCATTTATAGGTTTTTATTATAGCGGCTTTTTGAGTACTGGTAGACTAATATTCTTCAAATTGTCTTTAAATCTTGCCTAAGATACTTTAATGTTGTGGATAATTAAGAAATGCCTACATTGTAACCTTTTAGTAGCCATTGTAATATTGTAAATTGTAACCTTTGCAACTTATTAGTAGTCTAAAAGGTTAAGTTTAATATTGGAGGGGAAGACGACAATTAATAAGTATTCTTCCTAGCAGTGTTTTTTTTTTATTAGAGCATTGACTTCTCTGGTTAAAATCAAGATAATCAACTAATAAAAAAAGTATCTTAAAAACTCTTTTCTACTTGATTGTACTTTGGTGCCTTAGTATGACAGTGATAGTTCGCTCTTTCTCTTTCTCGCGTGATATTGCTGTCGCATTTGTATTGTATCAGGTCCCCTAACACCTTTGTTTTGGACGTGATGTATTAGAAGACGGGCGAATCTGAAGTGTCTTTACGAGTTGTGCAACATGTTTCTTTACCCAGTAACTGTGGATTTCCACTGTCTACAAACGTATGTATAAAATGTCTCCTTCTCTTTTTTCAGTTAGGAGGGGGATATTGAAACTCTACTCGTATTGTACCCAGTAACTTTAAATCTTACAAATGCGAATGTTTAGATGGATGGATGTTTGTTTGAAGATATCTCCAGAACGAATAAACGGATCTCGATTAAATTTAGCATACATATAGAACAAAGTCTGAAAGGCTTCTTATTAAGTTCCTTTTTAATTCCGCGCGGACGGAGTCGTCTGCGACAGCTAGTATGTAAGTAAGATTTGATAGTTTATACATCAAGAAAGTTATAAAACAATTTTCCCAAAAGATACATAACTAACTAAGAAAGAGCCCTGCAAAAGCGACAGTGTATGCTAAAGGTTTTAAAAAAACAACATTAAAATGCGACACAATATTTCAATGCTATTATATTTTAATCCTTATACAATTGAGATAAGGGCTTTAGGGTCTACGTAATATATTTTCTGTAGTATCTTGTATGTTTGTTAAGATATAAAGAGCCCTCTCGTAAACGATAAATATTAATATATTATGATCAAGGTGTAATGGGAGTCAATTGGTGGAAACTCCTTTGGATTATAGAGCGTGTTCTAAAATAATTTAATAGTACCATCTTTTACTATTGTGAAATTTCTCATGGGCTTTAGAAGTACGTTTATATGTACATTACATTGTACCTCGTCTACCCTAAATGCAGGAACTGTATAGCATCAGTTATCATTCTGCCCCAAGAATTTTTCGAAACGTAGGAATATTATTTATTTCTTATTCTGTATTTTCATTATCAAAGTACTTATTTAAAAACACACTGTCTATAACTCTTAAGAAAAATAAACTGTCGACTGTGACTCCGACGTCCAGAATTAAAAGAACTTAATAAGTAGCCTATTTGTTCTTCCAGAGTAAGTTCTACATCTATGTCAAATCTCCAAACAAACATCCATCCAAACGTTCGCTTTTGTAATTAGTAAGTTAAAATAGTACAAAAGGAACACGCTGTATATAACAAGGGTGCGACCAGTTACAAATCATATCTCGGCTCGAGCGCCTTAAGGAGGTATTTATTCGGTACAGGAGGGCATTAAGTGATTTGTGGCCCACAATGCGACGCAAACAACTCTTTTTTTTTTGTTTCTACCCGCCCTGCGACATGAGATTTATTTCATGGATACTTTATGTATCTCGAGAGAGGAACAAAATCTATCTTGATTATAAGTTATAATAGCTTTTATCTACGAGCTTATTCGGAACGTTGTAAAAATATTTAGTAGCATTTACTATTACTAGTGTTAAAATAAGTTGTACATTTGTCTGTTTGTATAGACAGAAATGATAATAAATAAATTTAGAAATTAATACAGTCAGGTAAAGTTATTTGAGTTTGTTATTTTATTAACTAGATGGCGTTAATTGTAATGGTAAATTGGGTTTTATTTAAATATCGGTTTCATGTATAAATTTGAGTTTTTTTTTTGGTAGAGTAAGACAAAATTTCAATAACGGTCGTTATTTTCGTTTTCCTGTTTGATTATTGTTTCTTTCAGAATTCAAACAAGAAAAGACGTAGACTAAACAATAGCTTTTCTCACGTTCAAGGCTTATTACTAACAAATGCCTATTTGGGGCCAATTTGTCTTTCCTTTCGACTTTCTCCAAACGACCGTGCGAGACGGAAGCCATCCGAATCTCACCGTGTTCATCTCTACGTTGCGTTGTTTTTTTTTTAATTCAGCATCGCCGTCGCCCGCGGGACCCTATTGTTCTGGACGCCCCAGACGGACGGTGCTTTGTATAGCAGACGTAGACGACGCCTTGATTATATTCCTGTAAGCTATAAGTAAGCGAACAATTTTTTTCCGGATTTGTTGAATATTTATTTGATACAAGATTTTTTAATGACGTACGGTAAATGGCCCGTAACTATGTCCCTCAATGAGTACTTTAAAATCTATTCTACGCTAAATTAAATTTACGGTAAATGGCTACTTGAATCATTAAATGGGTGAGTGAGACAGATAGTGTCTGGATTTTCCTAAGACATAAATTATATTTTTAAATATTTTTTTAATTTAAAAATCACAGATACGTAAAAATAGTAGATAAGGAAAAGAGCAAAATAATTATACTGTTTAAACATAGTTGTCGACCGATCATCTTCAACTTATTCATTATTTATTTAGGTATAAAAAAACAACTCTATTTTAATGTTTAATTTACTAAAAAATACTACATTTCCCTTGTAAATATATCATACTGAAAACCCATTAGCTACTAATTACTTAGTGATCACAATAAACTTACATTAGTACATTAGACCGGCATGGAAATTGTATTCGTGCCGATACAAAACCAGACGATGGCCGCTAAATGCAGTCGCAGCCGAGACTAGCACAATAACAATGCACAAAGGGCCTGACGAGGTATAAAAAATGTCTGTTTGTACATTGAAAAGTTCAACTTTCATTCGCCAGACGCCCGCTGCCGGCAGGACAATCCATTATTAGCTAAGAGCTTGAATATTTATTTCTGCAGCAATATTACAAACAGTGAATTTACTACTGTACAAAATCTATGTGTTAACATATACAGCCATATAAATACTAGCTGTCGCCCGCGACTCCGTCCGCGCGTGATTAAAAATATATGTTGGCCGATTCTCAGACCATACTCAATATGCTCACAAAATTACATGAGAATCAGTCAAGCCGTTTCTTAGGAGTATGGGAACGAAAATTGTGACACGACAATTTTATATATAAGAAGATGTGGCTTACATTTTTTTCTCTAAACCTACATACTTATCGATATATTTATTTTGGTATCGTGTATCTTTAAATGATACAATAATAATCTTGTAATAATAAAAAAATACTAGCTGTTGCCCGCGACCCCGTCCGTGCATTTAAAATATAAAACTTTACAAGTAGACTAAGTTTTCATCCAGACTATGTTCTACATTTGTGACAAATTTCATTAAGATCCGTTGAGCTGTTCCGGAGATACCTTGCAACAATCATCCATCTATTTAAACTTTCGCATTTATAATAATAATACTAAATAACAATAACATTGATACAAATAATCGTAGTAATATAGCGGGGGATGAATTTAAAGGTTTTAAGGGTCGGCAAAATTTTAATACGTAAATCAGCCACAGTTTGCAACCCCTAATATGTTTACATCTCTACTTTGTTCGCTATTTAGTATCATTTAAGATTAAATGAGATTTCTAAATTAAGACAAAATGTAACGCAAGTTTATTAAAAAAAAAACTGCCAAAGACCCTTCGTTATTCCACAGATTAACAGCATTATGAAAAATATTAACCATAGATAAATCTAGAAAATGTTTTTAATTAGTAACATTTTAACTTGATTAACCTATTTGGTTACCTCTCTTTTGTTTTTCTTTACTAAAATATTTTAATAATGCATTAATGAATGTACCGAAAAAATATTTTTCTTTTTGCTTTTTTCATTAATTAATCTAAAAAAAATTGTAGAGATTAACATAAGAAAAAACTTAGAAACAAGGTTATCTGATTACGCAATATTAATATTTTAGTTTTTTTAGAAATAAAAAATAAATATTTGAAATTACCATAAAGTTTTTCTGTAACTAGCTCTTGGACTATAACATTATGATGAAAACGGTAGAGAATAGCTTTTTGGCGGCCAGACGTTGCATTTGTGTACAGATACCGCTCTCTAAATACTTGTTGATACTGCTATTTAACTTTACATTAAGTTTTTTTTTTATTATCACTCGCCGCATACACATTTGCTGCGCCATTAGATAGTCTGAAGAAGAAGTTTCTTTAACCCTTATGTTCATATTGTATAGTATGCCATACATACAACTTTATAAAAATATACGATCACTATAAAATTTTTAACTTAATTTTTTTTAATTTTGTTTTTGCTTTTCTTCAGAAAAGAAATCTTGCCGCAATAAGGGTTAAAGTGAAGTTTAAGCTTCACTTTTAGAAATGTAATCATTTTAAATCTTTTGATGATTATTTATCGTTCAAATAGCTACATATATTTACCGTATTATTCCAAAAAATATAGACACTGTTTAGTTAAACACGTGTTTTGACCCTTTGACCGCCGGTGATTGGTATTATGGACGTCAACGTGGTGATAAAAGAGATAGTGTACACTTGTACATCACCAAAACTGCTTCCTTATTAGAGTTGGCATTTCGGAAGGCTTTACATAATGATATTTCAATCGTGTTTTCTTGTAGTATTTTAAATCAGTGAGCAAAAAAGTGTTAATATATGTTTTTATATGTAGTACAAAAAAGTATTTTTTCTTACAACAAAAATCTAATTTAATTTTTTATGAAAATCACTGAAACAAGGTGCTAATTTCGGTGATAAAAAAATAAATTAAGCTTCAAAATAATTACATATGATTAGTTCAAAATGAATATTATAGTATCACAAAATTATTTGGCCAGATGAGTGGCGTTATATTATTTAGTTTTATTATAAAACATACATACAAGATTAACAATGACACAATGATAAACAATTCAATTAAATATATCGATATTGTAATGATTGTTAATGTAAAGGAGTTAAGTCAACCTGAGCTATAGTTAAATACGCTTATCTGTGCTTAGTAAATCAGCTTGAGTCCGGAAGTACAGTTGGAGATTAAATGTCGCCCGTCACTTGTGTAAACTCAATTAGAAGCGCGATTGCGATTGTGTTTTCATAAATATCTTGAAGCAATTTGAGTAAAGCTGGTAGGGGCGCGTGGGGTGTGGTGGGGGGGAGGGGAGTACAGGTGGCAAGGTTTAATATGAGGCGACTTAATATTTATTGCAGTTTAATTTATTTTTAATTGCGTAATTGTTTGAACTTTTTCTGACATCAATTTAGTTGGAAAATTGCTTTTAGTTACTGATAACTTAATTATTGTATATCATTTTAAACAAATTAATTACATTAATAGCATTCTAGAAGTTAAATGAAGAGCGTCGATGGGTCAGGGGTTAAGTACTAGACTTGCAATATGCAGGTCTTAGGTTCAAGTCCCGTCATTTACCAATGTGATTTTCGATTTACATTTATCTGACGTTCTTATGGTGAAGGAAAACAATTTGAGACACACTGAGAAGAAATTCAAAGATATGTGTGAAGTCAATTCGCACTCTGTCACCGTAGTTGACTATGCCTAGTCACCCCTAACTTAGGATAGGCTTCGAGGCCCTAAGAGGCCACGTATAGTAAATAGATGATGATGAAGTAAAATACCGTACAGTGTGGACTGGACCCTTAGGGACCTTTATGAACATTTGTTTTCGAATTTATATTAATTAATAATTACATTAAATCGATAACGTAGTTACAGTTTGAAATGTTTATATTACTTGCATGTTCTCAATTTATTTCCGCATATCGCATCTGTCCCTCTCTGTTGAGTTGTGTTAGAGCGAGACGATATACAATTTAATGCTCTACGTACGTCACATGTTATTAACGACGTCTTAATTTCGCAATGTGAGTTAAGGGGAAGCCAAATATTGTCGAAATATTTTACGTTAGTTTTTTTTAAAGTATTGTTTTTCACATTTTAATACAATTTAAAAAAAATAATAACTTAAATTGCCTTGAATACTAGCTATGTACAAATTCTTATATACTAATAATTAAAGTAAGGTTTTACTTATTTAAGCTGTGGCATTAACATTGTGATGTTATCAAAGAATAAATGTGTTTTTATATGTTTTTCGGCAATAATATACCACTGTTCTACGAAGTAAATGATTAACAGTGAAGAATTTTTTTATTTAGTGAAATATTGTAGTAAAATAAGCAGTAACTTGGCCTTAAGTAAGACGTCTTGTGCCCACCATATCGATGTGTTTGTGCGACTTTATTGTCGAAGTTTCGGGTCAACGTTTGAGAATTCTCTTGCGATCGAATGTCGAATTGTTTAGATATAATAACAAACAGTTGTTTTATATAAAATATTAGTTATTGAAGATGTTAAATGTTTGACCAGTCCGTTTAATTATTTAGGGGACTAATGCTACGTCATTTTATGTTTGTGTTTAGGATTAATTTTGTTATTAGAATTATGAAATTTTGCTTAACATAGAGCAGGGTTTTACTTTAGAGTAATCTGAGTTATTTATATTGTTAGATTTATTGACACTCTACATAATTCTAAAGAGACGTAGAGCAGAAATTAAAGTTCTTAATTGTATCTATCCAATACAATAATAAATACGACTAACGATGGATGTTCGTTTGAGGGTATCTTGAGAACGGTACTATGGATCTGTTTGATATTCGGCATATATGTAGAGCATAGTCTGAAAGAACACATAGGCTACTAATTAAGTTTTGTTTTAATTCCACGCGGACAGAGTCGCGGTTGACAGATATGATACAATAAAATGTATTGATAACTAGCTGTAGCCCGCGACTCCGTCCGCGCGGGATTGAAAATAGATGTTGGCCGATTCTCAGACCTACTCAACATGCTCACAAAATTTCATGAGTATCGGTCAAGCCTTTTCGGAGGAGTATGGGAACGAAAATTGTGACACGAGAATTTTAGATATAACATATAATATATAAAATCCAGGTCCTTAAGAGTAAGATTAACATTTTTTTTCATCCAAAAAAAATCTTTACATGTATACAGAGTTTTCTCGATAACCAATGATTTTTATCTATTTTTAAATGACGTGAGTCCTAGTCTTAATTTTAAAAACTAATGAGGCCAAAGTAAAACACTTTTCCTTTTGAAATTAAAACAAGTAATTATTTAACAGTAAAATGCGAATATAATTCTTGCGGGCCGTTCAGGCCCACCTGGGCACTTTTAAATAACCACTCAGGACATATTTATTGTGAAGGGTTAATATACAAGAATGGCGACAAAATGGGCCTTTTAAGCACCAAGCTAATGGCACTGTTGGACCATTGTTTACGAGATCTATGTTAAGTCTTTTATTTTAAGTAGGAATTACTTAAAATTTTCTTCCAACAAAAATAATATCGAATAGTTCCATGGCATTTGGAGTGTTGGTTCTCTTGTCCGAGTTGAATTTTGTATTTTACATACTTTGTGATATTTTGTATGTTTTTTTTTGTTCTTAGACTTATAATGAAGAATCTTACAACAAAGTCAGCGGAACAATCTCACAGATTCTGGATGCTGACAAATTCTTTGACGGACCAACCAGCGAGAAGCTACGAGGTGAGATTCTAGCATTGAAAGTGTTATATTATGATGTTTTATCCCGTTTTACTGGGAAAATAGACAGATTAGAATAGTGATTATAAACCTAGGGGGCTAGACAAAGTGCATTCGCTCCGACTATGTGGGACTGACGCACGACAATCATGTGACTTATCACTTCGATTCGTACGTACTTTGTCTAGCCTCGCTGATAAACTTTAGGCTTAACAATTCAACGTTATTAATTTATTTACAGATTTCTATAAACGTCTCATTCAAACAGACGCACGCATAAGAAAATTGAAACAACAAACAGAAGAAGCAAGCGACATCACGAAACCTCTCCCTGATAGATACAAGAGGTCCCTCATGTCTATAGAGACCCCCATAAATACTGACACACAAAGAATAAGTCTAGATACAAAAGTAGACTTAAGTAAATTCAATTTATTCTATCCACCTTTCGTTGCAGTAAAAGATTCCGCTTTCACTAATCAGAAGCCAAGATTTAAAAAATCTGACGAAGATCCATACAGCAATCAACCATCCGGTATTGTAATAGAAAATAAAAAGCTCATGGTTCAATATGGACCATTCGATAGAAAACGTAATTTTCCTAAATGCTCCCACATGCTAAAAGACTCGAAATCTCACGAGAAACAATTGAAACATCCATTCTATAAGAACTCTCAACGTCTGGACGAACTATTGGGACAAATGTTGGAACATAATTTGGATAAAGTTGTAGCGAATCCTTTTAACTTAGATTTATGGAATGGTGAAAAGGATAAATGCAAACATTCGAAGGATGAACAAGAAGTAGTAACGAAGGCGGAAGAAGAGCCACAGAAACAAATTTCATATCCACCTAAATCGGATGACTCCGTAAAACTTATGGGCGTTAAAAGAAGAAATGGTTTAGCTGAAGGAAATCCGAGCTATATTGAAAAAGAAGCCGCACATATAAATGATGAGGAAACCGATGAACTGTTCTTCCCATCGACTACTCCGAAATATGGCGTTGTGTTAAGTGTATCAACATTCATGTATGTATGACTCCGTTCGTGCTGAATTGTAAAAAAACTTAGAAATCTATATTTTCTTTTAGACTGTGCTCTACATCTATGCCAAATTTCAGCGAGATCCCTTTTGCAAGCAATTGAAACGTAATAAATACGTTTTCAAAAAACACATTAATTACAAACAGAAATATGTCAAGACTCTATTAAAATTAAAAACATTGCTTAAATATTATAATAACGTCTCTACTTTCAGCTTTCCGTTAAATATAATTTATGATTTCTTTTAGTAATGCTGATAGTACTGAAGAGAGCAGAGTTACGAAGAACAGCGACGACTCATCAATAAACAGACGCAAATTGTTACAATTAAACGAGGAAGATGAAGAAAATCTTGCTTATGAAGATTTCAAAGAAGTACTGGCTGATTATACTGACACTCATGACGAGACTGATAAACAAGTAGAAAGGGATAGAAGATCTGATGTACGTTTTACCGTGACTTGAAGTGATGTGACACATTTGCTATCTCTGTTTATTTTCAAACGAAGGAAAGGGATGGCTATATTGTCATAATCTAGGTGTTGCCACGTGAAGATTCACCGTTTCTAATTCATTGTTTATTTCTATTCTTTTCCAGAATTCCGTAATTTCTGGGAAACAATCTTTCGCAAATAAGTACGATATTTCCTTAGTTCATAACCCAAACTGGAAGAGTCCTATGCAATTATATCCCGATGAATTAAATTTATTAATAAAAAATTCAGGATCTTCAAGAGCCGATAGTGAATTTGAAAAAGGATTTCTAGACCCAAAGGATAAAGTAAAGAATACTGATACAGATTACGTAGAAGAATATTTAAACAGTAAATACTCAAAATTAGCGCAGGCGTATAGTGATTATGGTGTACTGGCTGCAAAAAAAGATTATGTTACAAATGAAATGAACCTGCCCACAGATAATGTAATACATCATGAATTTCCAAAGAGTTCGACTGAAAAAGAAAACAATGTTAAACAAAATCTAATTAAGAAACGGAGAAACGCACAAATGCGTAGGTATTTAATATTGTCATAATATTAACATTTTCAAAATTACGTTAAGATAAGAAAATCCTTTGTCCAAAAATACCATGGTAGGAATTTCGGTAAATTAGGGTCTGTTCACATAGACCGCTATGCTCTTAATCACAGAGACTCGCAGCAGAGAAACGACTATTAATTTTACTTTTATCATCAACAACCTGCTCTTATCCATACAGATGTTCGGTACAGTGTGTACTACTTACTCTATACTTATCAACCGTCATATCTGAATCAGCACCTTCTTGCGCACGTCCTCTTTCACATTCATACTGTTAGGAAGAAAATCCGACACTGTGCCGGTGTATCGGCGCAACACAAGCCTTATTTAATTATCAACGTTTATGTCCCCTCACTAATCATTTCTGACACTTGGTAACTAAAGCGGGCCATTCGCGCCAAAGGATTCCAACTAATTATGTCTATTTTTACAATTACAGACGAACTTAACACTCAAGATGTAAAATATCCATTTGCAGCGAACAATATGACAACATCGAGAAATATATTAAAAATTACTGAATTTGGACCAGAAGTGAATGAATTCTTTCCTAAAATAAAGATATCATCTGAACTCAAGGAATTGAGAAATATGGAAAAAAATGACAACGAAACACAAATACATCGCTCAGATGCAACTTTATTTAGAAAATTACGATCATTAAAATCTATAGAAACTGAAGAATCGAAAGATGCGTTAGATTTAAAAAGTAATAAAAAATTCACAGTACCCAATACTGAAGAGGAAATAAATAACACAAGCTTTAGTAATAATGGTAGCGTCGAAGGGCCCGGTGAAATTCTACGCGTGTTTTCCGATTGGTTTCTTACTTTAGCTAAATTGTCTGGCGAATTTAAAGACAATTCTACAGTCATTCAGTAAGTTGAATTTAATTATTATCATCATCAGCTTACTATAAGTCCCCACTGAGGGGCTTGGAGCCTACCCTAAGTTAAGGATGATTAGGCCATAGTCCACCACGCTGGCCAAGTGCGGCTTGGTTAACTTCACACATCTTTGAATTTCTTCTCAGATATGTGCAGGCAACACGATGTTTTCCTTCACCGTAAGAACGTCGGATATATGTACATACGTAAATCGAAAATCGAAAAACACATTGGTACATGGCAGGATTCGAACCCAGGACTTACAGATTGCAAGTCAAGTGCTTAACCACTGAGCCACCGACGCTCTCAGTTGAATTTGGGTTACGTAAATTAAAAGTGCCAGAGTTTTTGTTGTTCATATATTTAGAGTTTAGGAGTTAAATAACGTAAAATAAGCTAAATTCTTAAGGTTTATAAAAACCTTCCGCGCAGACACTGCATTAGTGTGTTAAGGCCAGGAAGATGGTAATTACCATTATATTTAGGTGTTAGATTTTAAATTTATTCCTAGTTGCAAATAACACAACAAATTCGGATTTTTCGATCATGAAATTATTCTAATATAGGATTAACATTCATGGATTCATTTAAAATTACAAACTAGCTTATAAAGGTTTTGACTTATGATATTTTGTTTATTATACACAAGTTAATATTTTAGAGAAAACTCTACAATATTAAATACATCTTTATTAAATACATATGAACCGGAAAATGTTACTAAAGATTTCATGTATCCAATGTACGATGCTGATATGATTGAAAATATTGGTCATAGATCTAGAGTTCTCATGTCTATTGAAGATAAAAGTGGAAACACCTCGTTAACAACAACTATAAATAATACGAAAGTTGAGAAATCTGAAAAAATAAATAAAGAAAATATTAAAGAAAATAAAGGTAAGGCAGAAAAGTTGACTTTATCCCCAACATCTAATTTTAGGCATTGCCGTATGATTGATTACATTTGGATTTCATGCCTTGATTCCCAAATAGTATTTATCGAAATGTAAGAACTAACTGTCGCCCGTGACTCCATCCGCGTGGAATTTAAAAAAAAATAGTAGGCTATGTATTCTTCAAGGCTATATCTATGCCAAATTTCAGTGACATCCATGCAGCCGTTCCGGAGATACCTTCAAACGAACATCCATCCATCTAAACATTCACATTTAAAATATTACTAGTTGTCGCCTGTGACTCCGTCCGCGCGGAATTTAAAAAAAAACATAAATAGTAGCCTATGTGTTCAAGGTTATGTTCTATATTTATGCCAAAGTTCAGTGACAGTCTTTCTACAGACCTTCAAACAAACATCCATACATCCATAAGTAAGATACCCTTATTGCAGGAGTAACAACAAAATTACCGCCTGCAAACCAAACAACAACAATCAAACACGAAAATGCCAGTGTAAATGCAAACTCTACTTCTCAAGATAAAAAAGTCAATCGAACCGTAGTCAAAAGAAGTGCTGATAGTAATCTTATTTTCTGGAACGATATCTATGATGATGAATACGGTGTTAAAATAGATTATTTGGATAACGAAGCGAGGAATAAACATTCCGTTGATAATGAAAATTTCATGAAGCGATCCGGACAATGGATTAATAAGAAATTCAGAAAATTAGGTGAAAGTTTACGAACAGGTTACAATTCAAGAAAGAATTATAAAAGACAACATATTATTAATAAAACAAATAACAGGGAACATAATTTTAATCGGTTTTTACGTAAAGTTAAAGATTTAAGGTAATTATTTTCTTTAAATACGGTAATTTAGAATTTATGGTAAATAAATATTCAACCAATGCAACTAATTTCAGACCCAAAAATTACTACAAGCGAGATGAAAGTGGACTTTTGTATTCAAAGAAGAAAAAGTATGAGGTAAATAATAATACAAAAAGTTAAAGTTTCTAATCAAATCAATGGTTCTCGAACATTTTAACCTAGCTTCTAGTTGAAGAAATAGATATACTAGAGGTAGCAACTAGTAAAAATGATGAACAGTAAAGAACATTTTAACAATTTCTTTGTTACAGGATGATGAAAGTGAAAATTATTTAAACTTCGCGTCAATGACAGCTAAAATGAAACAAATATGCCACGAAGCGGCAAAGGCCGTAGAGAAAACTAGAAATATAAACAGTAAGACTATTTTTCACATTTAAAAACTGTAACCCATAATTATAGGAACGTCACAAATCACCGTGGCATAGGATTTCGTTAGACACCTATTCGTTGAAACGCCAGTATCCAAATTGTTAAGGATACGGACATGGGATTACGTAGTTGTATGTTCGAATCTCATCAACCAGCACAAGCCTAGAGCATAGTCGGATTACAAGAAACTCTACTATTTATATTTACTAAAAAAAACAAATAACACAATTCATAAAATAATATTTCTGTGTCCCTAAAATAAAGTTGGACGGCAATGAAGTCATAGTAATAATAGAGAATATGATAAAATACGATGTATACAGTATGGCAATTTGACAGTCCGAGAGAGTGAGGGCGGCGAGGAGGTGGTCGCGACATCCCTGATGCAGCAGCTCGTCAAACTGATGACTGATCTCGTCGACTTCCAAGTGCAGCAAAAGACGTGCTCTAGTATGTGTTTTTGAGCTATAAATATCATAGTTCTCACCAACTATGGCTATCATAGACTACTCCTTGAAGTATCTTGTTTTTTAATCGATATTTTCACAAAAATTCTTCACATATAACAATATTTTTTACCTATATCCTAAAATTAGCGTTATTAACTTAAGTGAACTATTGTTACACAAGGCAAGAAGGTCATACCTTGTTTCCTCATAATTTCAAAACTATGAAATTCAGGCGAGATTCTTCAAGTAGCCGTGACTAAAATCGTTTAAGGTTTGCGTATCTTTGTATGAACTGTAAAAGAATCTGTATATTTTAGGACTCCCACAAGACCTCTCCGATTTCCTGCAGTGGCTGACATCACCTCCAGGTTCTGATGAAAGTAAAGATACCAGATTCGACATGATACTAATTGCCTCGCCATTAAATGATACTAAAGAATATAAAACTAGTGGTGAGTATTAATGTTCGGTAATGTATAAAAAAACTTATAAGAAATAAAAAAAAAACTGACAACAAAATCGCTTGAACCGTGTAGTCTACAGAATTCCACAATGAAATTGACAGACATACAAAATCTACTTACATGAAAATATACTATCCAAAAAACTTCAAAATGTTGTCAGTTTATAAACGCCCCCATACATATGTAATCACTTTAGCTTAGTTAATAGTCATTGATGCTGTCGCCTGCGACTCCTTCCGCACGGGTTAAAAAAAATTAATTTGTAGCCTTTGTGTACCTGCAGACTATGTTCTATATGCATGCATAATTTCATCGATACCAGTTCAGCCATTCTAGAGATACCTTCAAACAAACATCCATCCATCTAAACATTTGCATTTATAATATTAGTAAGATTTACATAGGTAAACGTGAAATATGATTATGCAGTGAAACCACCAAAATCTCACAGGACTTAGGCGTGAAGAATATCAAAGAGTACATAAACATTCGTTTCTTTTGTCGACAGAATCTCCATTAGTTGAAATAGCAGATTCAATCTTAAAAGAAGAGACTGATCCTAAATCTGAATGTCTGAATATACTACAATCGGTGCGAGAACTTTTGCGATTATATGACGAATTATCTTACGAAGAAAAGGTTAGTGAACGTTTCACTGAATAACATAAGCCTGCCTGGCTTTGCAGCCAACGTGCCAACTCAAAATTCCAGTAAATTTATTTAACCAACCACCAACCCGCACTGGGCCAGCGTGGTTGAATATAGCCTAATCACCCCTAACTTTGGATAGACTCCTAGCCCCTCGGTGGGTTCGTATAGTGAGCTGATAATGAATATATTTAAGGTAGAGATCCAACTTATTTCTTGATATGGTACCATTTCTACGAATCTTGTCGCTGCTTCACCTTACAAATCATGGTAGATGATATAATATTTAATTTCAGGGCAAACTACTCGGCATCAAGGAATATCTAGAAAACCAAAGAAATTTCCTTTTGAAAATCCTATCGGCTCCTATAGATTTGAGTGTAAGTATTATTAAAAAATTTTTGAGAAAAAGGATCTTGATAGACGGATGGATGGACAACAAAGTGATTCTATAAGGGTTCCATTTTTTTTCCTATGAGGTACGGAACCCTAAAAGTATACGTGAAGATTCCTATATTATATTAAGTATACTAAATTAATTTAAAAATTCCAGACCTCCTTAGACGTGTTAAAAATGTATCGAAAACGTAATACACCAGCCCGCTTTAAGCGATTCGTTTCACAAAAGAAGGGCCCGAACAAAACACAGACGCGGAGGAAAGAAACACCAATGAAACGAATCAACAAATTTACTAAGACATCAGAAACTAAACGAACGAAGACGACAATGAATCAGATAGATTCAATGGTCGTTACTGAAGGAGTTAGAAAAAAGAAACAAAAACTAGACAAGGATACAAACGAAAATAAATCGACAACAGCTCATCATAAAATTGAAACTAAAACACCAACTGTTAAGACATAAAATTAATTCATTTGTATTAGGAATTAGCACTTTGTTATTAGCACAGCTTTCTAATATTGAAATACTTGCATACAAACCATCTCTGTCATTCACTTTGAGATAGAAGAGACAACAATTATTTTAATTACCAGCCTTTAGAGGTAACTTCTGGACAGGCTTTTGCTTCGTCGGAAGTCGGAAGGACTTCATAGTGCCAATTGAAATTACTGTAAACTAATTTTATCTTTATTATTAGTTTGAGTTTCCAACACTGCCATGTAACGCTACCGTCACCGCCAAAATGGCGAAAATGAAATAGGCATAAAATACCATGGTTTATATCCTATCCAGTGGATAACAAACATGATTGATTTTGATACAAATGGCAGTGGAATTTGACTGTTTTTGATATACTGTTCGTTTAGGATTGTCAAATGTAGTAATAACTTGATTGAATTGTAATTTTAACATAGGTTGCACAGTTTGATTAATAACATGAGTATATGTTTTAGCAGTTTACAAACGTTTGTTTTATGATAGGATTTACTTTCACGATATTGTAATAAATGTATTTATTTATTATCTCTGATTATCTTATTTACCCTAAGCCTAGAGTTTATATAACCCAAGTTTCTTAACAACTGTTAAAACACCACTTATTTAGACGACATTTTTAACCTTGAATTTATTAGGTCTAAGGCCCTTCGTAAAAAGGCAAGGTAATTCGTCAAAACTAGTATGGGAATCGCGTTCCGCGAGCTCCGTACAAACGTTGAATCGTGGACGCGAGTCTATTGCGTAGGTAGAGGCATAGCAACTACATGTCAACTGTAGCTTCGCCATCTTGTAACTTATAGCGTCGTCTAGCGATGTTGAGAAACAGATAGCGAGCGACTCTCTTGCCTAGTGTACGAAAGGCCTTACGGTATTTAAAAATTACTACAAAATTTAATCTCTCTATATCTTTGAAACCACAAATTTAAGTAATTTTAACAGTGAAAATTCATGGTAAGACGTATTTTGTTATGAAGTAACTGGAAGTTAAAAATGTTTCTTTGTCATCTCGCTAAGGTTTCCTTGTCCATATTTTATAACCGTTTAACGTCTTAAACGTCTAGTTAATAATATGTTAGCCTGCATTTTATGACTTGTTTCCAGCGCAGACGGCGAAATGAAATATTTAGTTTTAATAGCGAATGCTTTTATGTTATTGCATGCACTTTATTGCATCTGGGGAGAGGATGTTACAGTGCATTACTAATGCCGTGATACAAGCCCGAAAACATATTGTTGTTTCAGTTCTTTTGTAAGAAAATGAAAGGGATGACGATATGATTTTCAATGAAGGTATTAGCAGTGAAAACCTACGATAAATATTGTTTGTTGCCATACTATAGCACTATAATAGAGTCGCGGTGTAATTGGAATTTTATTTTAATAGTGTTGTTTTATTTTGTTTCTTAATGGTGAATTTACTTTAATAATTTGTAGACATTGCAACAAACTATTTTTCCCTTAAGTTTTTTTTTCCGGTTTGCTTTTCGATTTAGTTTCTTTATTTTAGTGTTTCGTTTCTGAAAATGAAACTAATAAATTAAAATGGCTCATTATTACAAGAAAGTATTTAATAAAACGCTATTATAATTTTACAATTAGTTCATCATCCTCATCATCATCATCAGGGGCTCGGAGACTACCTTAAGTTAGGGGTGACTAGTCCATAGTCAACCACGCCGGCCAAATCCACATCTTTGAATTTCTTCTCAGATATGTGCAGCATCACAAAGTTCTTCTTCACCGTAAGAACGTCGGATAACGATTTCAATTTTTCGAATACCATCTAAACTGGAGCAGTAAAAGATGGTTACTTTCAGTTGTCACGCTAACTCCCTGAGACATTGACGTAATTTATGATTACATGTACCCAGGGGACGTCGTAAAATGATTTCATGTTCACCGTAAATTTACACACCAAATACAATATTATCTATATAATTTTTGATAGAAAGGTACTAACAATTATTAAGTAAAAATACAAGCATTTGTCAACGACTTCGTCTTAAAATAAATATAGCCTCACCCAGGGATAGTGTAGTTTCACAACAGTGAAACAATTTTTCAAATCGGTTCAGTAATTTCGGAGCCTATTCTATGCAAACAGACAATCAAATGTTACCTCTTTATAATATTAGTATAGAAAACTTTTAACTCTACCATTTTCTAGTGCCCTGGTACTACATTATTCGACAAGACCTATTTATCCTAAATTAAGACTTTCGGATTAACTGTAATCGAAACTGTCAAGTCTGTTATCGCTGTATGAGACCCGCAGCATTTTATGTCGCCCTGGTACTTTGTTAAACTGGGTACATTAGCCCGGACAACAGATCGTAGTGCTTTTCAATATTCAAGGGAAAGTTTTAACAAAAATTAAACAAAACACCAAAAAAAGTTTTTATCCTCAAACTATAGCTGTCAACCGCGACTGTCCACGCGTAATTTAAAAAAAAAATAGCCTATGTGTTCTTCCAGGCTATGATGTTCTACATCTAAGTCAAATTTCTGCGAGATGCATGCATATTCTGGAGTTACCTTCTAACAAACATCACAACAAACATTCACATTTATATTATAAGTAAGAAGTAAGATTAAGGAAAACCCTTAACGAATATTTTTCCCGCCCAAACCTTTTCTAGCGAGGAATCACTTTATCCGCGGCGGAATTCGCGTCACGTAGTAAAACGCCCGCCAGACGTTCAGGTGTAGTAAACATACATACAAACAGACGGGTATATGTATAATAGATGCGATATACATTTGCGCGCTTCGAGGCCGAGTATCAAATTTAAATATACATCGCGACTGTACGTGCTTACTCATTATCTTATACAGGAGGTATATTTTATCATTCATTTTAATTAAACGAATAAAAATTTATTTGTTTTTCACATTATGATTTCTCTCGTAACTGTAATAGACGAATGTAACAGTTGTTAACTAAAAACAAATTAAATTAAGATTAAACTTAAGTCTAAATGCTTCAGATCTCTAACGATGAACTTAACAATTGCTGAAATTCAGCAAACAAATAAATACTGACTCGATTAATTACTTGTGCGCGCATTAAATTTTATTTATATAGTATTATTTAATTGAGACTATACTTTAAATTATTTTCTATAAAGCAGTGGTTTTTAGTACTATCTCTTTGTGTTTTTTTCTTATTTTTGAACACCATGTATATACGCAAGTTGGAACGGGCCAGTATCGAAAGTAACCGGCGGGTAAGTGCTGTATTTTGTACGAAAATTATAGCATTGCTAGAAAATAGGGAAGTACATTGTCGTTGTCGATAAAAATGTTTAATACACTGGTTATATTAATCTTTGAAAATATAAAAAAAAACAGTGTGCAAATTTTAGAATTTTAGAATCTTTTTCAAGATAAATGTTTCGAGAAGTTCTTTCTAATTGTAATTAACACAATGTAACTTAAAGCTTAAAGTAATTAATTTTTATAAGAAAATTTGAATAGCCTAAGACATCATAGACATGACAGAGCTTTTTATATAACAATATTAGTTTTGAATGAACGAAATAACTTGTCGATAAATTACGCTAAATATTTCCATCACAACCCTAATTCTCCAGTCTCACTTGAGTGCAGTCTCGACGTCATAATATCGATAATGTACAGCGCTAATTATCAAGAGTTCTCTTGTGTATCGATAAAATTGTTTATAAACATCACTAGCCATTAGTCTGGCTGCCTGAGAGAATTACTTACGTCTATAAAATTTTGTTATGTTAAGATTATTTTATTTAAGTTAGAATATTACTTAACGAGTACTTAACTATCAAAATTAGTGTTTTGTATAATGCTACAAGCTTATTTGGTCCGGTTGATTTATACCGGGTCAGATAACTTTTCGATTTCGGCATTTTTTGACAAAACAGTGTTTCATTAGATCTAAATGAGAATTTTCTTTGCCGAGAATATCCTACACATCTTCATCAGCTCGCTATACATCCCCACCGAGGGACACGGAACCTACCCTACGTCAAGGGTGATTAGGCCATAGTCAACCACGCTGGCCAAGTACAGGTTGGTTGACTTCACACATATCTTTGAATTTCTTCTCAGTTATGTGCAGGTTGCATCACGATGTTTTCCTTCACCGTAAGAACGTCGGATAAATGTACATATGTAAATCGGAAATCGAATAAACATTGGTACATGGCGGGATTCGAACTCAGGACCTGCAGATTGCAAGTCAAGTGCTTGACCACTGAGTCACCGACGCTCTTAAAGTTAGGGGTGACTAGGCCATAGTCAACAACGCTGGCCAAGTGCGGGTTGACTTCACACATATCTTTGAATTTCTTCCTACACATACTAACTCATTATCTAATATATTTTGAATACATCCTGTTTATTGATATGTTTTGTAATTATTTGAACACAGGGTGATCCGGCAGCAAACCATCACAATTGTCTTTGATTAAGTTATTTTTTTCTTGCAACTTAATTCTCAAATAACAACAAATGATAACTGCTAATTAAATATACAGCAAAGTATACTAATAAAGTTCCCATTTTCTATGCCAGAAGTGTACACTAAGCTCAAAATGCTTGGAGTTCTAAACAATTATAACTTTTATATATTTATTGTCGAAGTTCTACAATCCCTAGCCGCATTGATACCCTGAGACGAGATGCAATTTTGTTTGGATAAACTTGTCTAGATTCGAGTATTTTTATATCATTTAAATTGTTCTTTTATAAAACGTATAAAATTAATCGTATTGTGGCTTTTTTATAGTTGTTTTAATTTGTTTGGATCTTATTCTGATAATTGTTTTTATTTTATTTAATACGTTTATGAGGACAATATTATGGTATTCTAAAACTTATTTTGTTACTCACTTTTGTTAAAATATGTTTTCATTTTTAACTGGCCTTAATTATAAAGACCAGAAATATTTAAGATAATTAATGTAGGTTTTTATTTTTAGAAATTCCATCAAATACTCCTTGAAAAAAAAGGGTTACATTTGTAGTTACCACTTTTTTTTTATTAAAAAATAAGTTTTGGTCACCGACTATATTCGCGCGGAATTAAAAAAAAAGATTAATAATGTGAGTTCTTCCAGACTATGTTCTACATCTATGTCAAACAGTAATAAACATCAACACAAACATGCAAACTTTCGCATTTATAAAGTAATATATGCAAATAAGTTGATGAAAGTTCCGGTTATTTAAAAATATTGAGCAGAAAAAAAAAGTTTTTTTTTAATAACAGAAGGGGGCAAACGAGCAGCGGGAACACCGAGGAGTTCGACGACGGGTTCAAAAAATATTAGCCGATGGCTTTAACATGACCGTAAGAATATTCCTCAGTAGTCAAAACAGAAACGTGCATCCGTCGGCGTTGTGAATTCGACAGTATCGCCTCACCACGTCACATTACGCTCGTATATTTACGACACTAGCGCTGTGGGGTGGGCAGTGCCTGTTAATATTTTATACCGCACTGCCAACGACTTTTATTGGCCACGAACGACTAAGATCGATACAAG